CCAGGATTATTTTAGACACCATTTTGAATTAAAATAAAAATACTCAGATTATGGAAGNTCCCTTAGTTATTCGAGGCCTAGTGTATTAGGCATGATTGGATAAATTGGACAGGGATAATGAGTACTTAATGCACAAGGCATAATGATCAATGTAAGCTGCTATCACGATAGTACCCCACCCTGATTCAAATAACTACATAAAAAGAAAACTCACCTGCCGTGTCCTTGGTGAATTTCGGTACTTTTTTGAGGTCTGAAATGCAAAATTATGAATGGAGGAGAGTTTGACAGTAACTGACATCTAAAAATGTAAAAAGGTGGCATTCTTGAACTTTAAATATGCATGAAATATGGGACTTGTCATTCACTATTACATGTCACCACTGCTAACGGAACGATTGGCTTTGAAAAGGACCAGTCTTGTAGAGCAATGCAAGCTACAAGTTACAATTTATCAGCTATTTATTCTAGAAACTATCAAAGTTGGAGGAAAATTTTCACACAACCACAAAATTGATCAGACCTAATTACCGTGTGATCATTCCCAAAAGGTAAATCTGTGATCTTAATTTGCCATTCATAATTCACCAAACAACGAGGGTTCTTAAACCCACTATTAAAAAACATAAAATTATCTTCAGAAACTTAGAAACTCTAAGGAATTCATTTTGATTGATCAACGATTGATAAGACCAGCATTTGAGAAAGCAAAAATTAACCCTCACTGGCGCCTATATTCTGATGCTGATAAGTCCTTGAACGGTATCAACAATGAAATATTTCATACTTAGCAGTTAAGATATTTGTAGAACCATTAACCAGATGAGCATCATGCTACTTACTTCTGTTTGCGTAGAGGATAATCAAGCATGACATTCCACCAAAAATATGCAAGTAAAGTACATTGAGGAAAATTCCATGTTGGTACGGGATTAAAGCGCTAACTCACTTTGATTCGATAAAAGAATTTTAATAAGAATAAATCGGAAAAAGGCCGCGTACCTCTGCTTGACATGGTGTTTCGGAGGATGTATCATGCCCATCTTCCCGCTAAAAAATTAAACGTGATGGGTAAGCGGACCGAGTTCAAAGTAAGTAGAATTCCTTACCGAAACCAAAAGACGGTTGGGTATTAGAATTTTAATGCAAACCGGAAAATAAAATTAGTCTGGATGTCATAGCGAAAGACGGCCGCGTTAGACAAAATAAAAAAATTGTGAAATAAACAATTCTCTTAATGAGACCCGAAATGAGACATCCGGTTGGCATTTTAAGGACAGATTCCCTTTTAAATGTGTTTGGCGTGAAACCCCATAGTGTATCACATAAACCCCTAATGCGTACCATTTCTATGGGCGCCGAACGGGATTAAAGCATACGTTGGCTATATTGTCCGACTTTACCCTTCTTTTATTGGTCAAGTATTATAAAACCATTACTGCGGTATCAGACGTGCTCAAATACCTAGGGTTCTTAGCCTTTATTTCCTTATGGTATGGGAGCAGCACAATATTTCAAAAGTGGGATCCCTGCGGCTTTGAGGTCTTTTTTCCTCTAGAGTTGGCAATTACATCCACCTTCATCGCTTTTTCTGATTGGGTAAGTCATTTCTTCAGCCATTGGTTGGAATTGAATGCACCGTCTACTCCAACCTGTGTGCAATATCAATCCACTTAAATAAATTGTAAATCATTATCAATGGTTAAGAAGCGTTTACTTGCTAAACAGTTATCACGTTCTTATCAGGCTAAAAATTCATAATTGATGTTGCATAGTTTTTGGAAAATTATGTTATTCTTGCACATAACACGGAAAGTTCCGGTGGGTTTACTAAACCAAAAACGATGCACAATTCTGGGATTCGTGCACTTATTATTTCCTCGCTTGCTATACTGAGGGAAAGGTGTAGAACCCGAGTCTTTCCTGAAGTCGTAATAAACTAAACTAAGTGTATATGAGAGCCCAGAAGCTAGCAGTGGAGCTTTAAGCACATAACACAAAGTAGACGTGCAGCCCTCTCAGACTACTACGTCCACACAGCTCAGCACACATTTAAACAAATATTAAACTACTACGCCACATTGCTGGGTCACAAATTTACTCTTTTACCTACAAATGATTTCCATCAATGAAACGACTAAGCGATTTGTTTACTCTCACTCATGTTCACCGCCTGCTTCAGTTACTTGTGGGTTAGTTATTAAACCTTTGCGTGCTTATGTATATTACATTTGGGTGTATTTGGAGTCCCCATAATCTACTTTGAAGTAATAACGACCCAAATTTGTACGGAAGGCCGCATTATTAACGTACCGTAGGATTGAAGGGCGATTAGCTTAGCCTAAAGGCCATGCTGAAGAGTGGCATTAAAATTACATAGTTAAGCACACATTATCCTCCGTATGTTATGCAAACGTATTGCTAAACACACGGTATGTGATCCTTCTCTTGTAGTGATCAAGTTTTAGCTAACTAAACTCAGTTTGAGATAGCTGAGAATCCTTAGCATAATAATCCCGCGGGATACGTGTCTTAAACTCGGACATAGAGAACTTCGTGTGACCGAAATCCGAATTTGATTGAGCTTAATCAGCTACGCAACCACTGCAATGCAATAAAACAGTTGTACCTGAATGTTCCCATTTCAGAAGCCCCTTTATTGTATATTTTACCTTCATCAAGTCAAAAATTGTTTGTGACCATGGGGACAAAGATAAGAAAGACAGTGCATCTGAAGTGTGACATAGTGAATACCACAAGGCAAATGCCTGTCTTTGTGTTGTTTACCACCGAAAGGACATTCGGTTGGCATTTTGGAGGACAGCTTCACAAGTGGCTCCATAATGTATTTTGAATATGCTGCTGTTTTCTGAAAACCCCTATTGAATGAGTTGGCCGTGTTTTCTGGTCAATGAGCCACAATCAACCATAAGGATGCTCCAGAGATGCCTATTTTCCCATTATTTATTAAAAGTACATCTACCATATGAAAACAACAGTCCCAAAGCTTGACTAATACTTCTTTTGGCTCTCCATTTTGGTAATGGGACCACTTAGGGACTCTGCTACTGTACTTTCACCGGGTGCACTGGCCTCTGGGGCATACCAGCAGCCCCAAGTCCTACTGCACGTCGAAGATACAGCTTCCACCAAAAAAATGTCCCCTTTCGATTTCAGAGAAGTACCATGACACTATACTGGTGACAGTGGAAAGCGAACCCTATCTTAAAGGACAGCTATCCCAACTGCTA